TAAAAATTAGTTAACTTTTTTTTTCCTTCTTCTCAGTGGCCCTAATCCTCTTCCGTAAAGTTTGGGATAAAACAGAAATAGTTCAAATTTGTTCCATTTGACAGTTTCCTTTTTTTATGCAACTTCCCGAAAGTTTTTTACACTGAAAATCCCAAAGCATCATTTTCTTTTCTCTTGCCTTGACCATACAAAAGGAAAAAAGTTTGTGTTTCATTTAAAAAAAAAAAAAAATCTTTCACTTGTATTACTAGTTGTGGTTTAGAGACTAGTTATAAATATTCCAAAACAAACAATAAATGTCCTTAATTATTTAATATAGGCTCATCCAGTTCACATATCATATCTGTCATTCATATTAAAAATGCCACAACTCAAAAAATTAAACAACTGACCTAAAACCTCCCTATTATTTTTCATGACTCATCAAACATGCAGATGATAAAACCCAACAAAGTAAATAGAATTTTATAATACTCAAAAAATTTTATAATTTGGAGCTTGATAAAAAGAACAGATTATTTGTCCTTAATATTTGATATTTTTATAGTTTTACTGGTGACTGAAGTATTCTTTGTAGTTCAAACAAAAAAGGCCAGAAATGTGGGAGATGAAGTATTTTTTTGTTGTTGCAGTCAGTCTTTTAAATCTGAATGTTCCTCACACCTCGTGTTTAGCAGGTAATCTGGTGGATCTAGTCTCAGTGTGCAGATGTTAGGGCTGACAGCCTCTTTCATTAGCATTCCATCAGGGGTGAGTGCCAGGCTCTTGGTTTTGTAACGCAGCTTGATGATTGTCATCACCTTTAGAGCGCTCTGTCATTCTGGAACGCTGATGTCTAGACAATATATCACTGCGTCATTTAACGTCAACAAAGACCCACAGGTCAGAACTGGCCGTCAGTTAGAAGAACATTCATTGCAACAAATTCTGTGGTTAAGTTTCATTTTATTGGAAGGTTTTCAATTTTCTAAAGAGAAATACCTGGAAAAAAAAACTACATAATAAATAATTATGTATATTAATCTAAACAAGAAGGGTTGTTGAAGACCTCACTTTGGTTTAAAAACAGTCAGTTTGTACCTATTACAACTGGCCTGTAGATTTAATCGGTGACACCTTGGATTTTTGGTGTAACTCTGATGTATTTCTTTATGTATTTACGTATATAGGAGTTCTTTGCATAGTTTATACCCTCCATAACTTTTTTATTTTGTGTTATAATCAAAAACGCTTAATATTTGATTAGGAATCTGATATATATACAACATATTTCCTAACCATGAAGGGGAAGGAAAAGGATACAACTTTCCACATGTTTCTCTTTCATAAATCTAATTTATAAAATCTGTTTTGGATAGCAACGCAGCAACTAAAATCCAGATCAAACAATTGCCAGCCTGTGTGTAAGCTTATGCCAGTATGCAGATCTTCCATTAAGTCCTCAGAGGTTTGTAAGGAAACATTGAATAAGACCAGGGAACACGACAGGACTAAAGGTGATGAGACATTTATTAGTTGCACACTTTAAGAAGGAGCATGAGAAAAGGAGTAAAAATACGTCTCATTAAATACAAACCTCATAGGGAACACAGGAGACATGTTAGAGAGGGTACTGTTGCCAAACGAGAACAAAATGTGATGCTTAGACTTGCATACTGAAACATATTTGGTTGCATACTTACATCATGCATCGTCTTGGACATAGCAGGCCCCAAAAGGTAACCAGGAAACATGATGGTGGTGGTACCGTAATATGGAAAGTCTTTCTTTAGCAGAGACGGGAAAGCTATTATGAATTAATGGGAAGATGAAGGGAGCTAAATACAAGACAGTGCTGAAAAAAAAGATAATATTGCAGTTTGGAAAGACTTAAAACTGGATTTGAGGTTCATCTCCCAACAGGAGAAAAACTCTAAAGGGCTGGTTATACAGCATTGAGCTTGTCGCAGGTATGGTGTAGATGCTTTTGATTTATGCCCAATTTTGAAGCATGGTTCGCGCTATGTTATGCCACGCAAGAGCGATCTAGCTTTGGGTCTAGATAAGGCCGAGGAGGTGAGGAAGTGGAAAAAAAGGAGCAAGTTTGTGCGACAACTGAGGGGCGAAAAAGAGCGGAGATCCAGGTGGAAAAAGGGTCCCAGCGTTCTCACGCACCTCGCTCTTCTAGCTGGTCCATCTTCATGAGTCGTTTTCCACAATGGCGGTCATACAAACAAAACAAGCCGGTAAGGAACCAAACAGGAAATACGCATAGAGGAGAGCATATGTAGATCTGACCAATCAGAGGCCTCCTGTCTGCAGTGACCCAAAATTTAGGAGAGGTGCACCAGAGTGTCTGCGGACTGGGTACCTCTGACTATAAATCAGCCTTAAATCCAATAAAGTTTGAAAATTGATGTTTTGTCGAAGCTATGCGTGCATTCTGATTGAGCTACAGGTATTTCTGCAAAGAAGACCTGGTTAACCTTCTATATGCGTTGAGACAACCAAATGACTTATGGCTATGAAAGTATTGACTCAGAGGGACCGAATACATACACACACATCATACTTTTTAAGAGTTAATATGTTAAAATACTTTAAATATATTGCGTAAAATACCTCAAAGTTTTAATACAGTAACAAAATTAATGTAAAGCCTTTATTAAGGCACTCTAAAGCAGAGCAGAATGGACAGTTTTAACTGAATTTGATTATTTCTGCAGGGTGCGTGCTATTTAGTAAAATAAATATACTATTCACACCTAAAGTAAAAATTACCGTAATTGATCAAAGTAAAAGCTATAAATCAGTTTAATATCTACCAATGCATTTTAGCTTCCATCTTAAAAAGCTTTATTACTGTTAGTGTAAGTCCCCCCTCGCTGCTTAAGGAGATTATTTAAAATACTAAACAGTAGAAAATAAATTAATGCACAGATGATCTATGAGGAGAAGATACAAATTCCCCAACCAGATGGTTTTTCTCTGCTGGTTTTTAGCATGTCATTTTTTTCCTGCCCAAACACATATCTTTAATAATTGATCTATGAGTGCTCTTCTTAAGATACTAGTCACAAATATGGAATTTATTAAACATTGTATGAATATGGATTTCAGTATTAGTGCATTACGATATGACAGAGGAGCAGAAATGTCTTTGATATATCAACAGAAATGGGAAAAAAGAGGAAATTAATTTAGTGCTGTCTGTGACTTTGTTAGGACTTTACAAAGCTGAATTGTTTGTCTCTGGAAGCTAAACGATTATCTTCTCACATAAGTTCCAGAAACCTGAGTTTGAGCTTTTTAAACTTTACAGCTGTGTGTTTGTTCTTCACTAACAAGTGACGTTTGTTTGCTTCTGAAGATGGTTGAGGATGTCCCCCCAGGGAGTTTAGGAATGATTAGCTGAGCAGGGGTAGCTAAACATTTTTCCAAATGTTGTTTTGACCCCGGATCTCGGCCTTCCCCTCAGTCCCTTTCCAACGTCCCAGATCCTCAGAAAAACTCTGTTTTGTTTTCATTATTAATGCCACAGATCTCTTTTATATCCGTTTCCTCCAGCTCAGTGTGATAACACAGTCTCTGCTGTTTGAACTGGCTGCTTATAAAATCAGAACTTCTTTTATGTACGCTGCAGTGGGATGTGTTTTTTTAAGTTTCTATGAGCGTCTGTATGAAGCAAAAGTGTGAGGATGACGCCTGGATATTGGGGTCAGGCCTGTAAGGGAAGATAATCAGGAAGTTTCCCCTCAACCCTCCATCCTGCAGGAAGAAAAAGGAAAGAATAGGAATAGGATTGCTTCAAAACATTGTTTACTAACACACAGGCCTGCAGCACTGCAGAAATATTAATACAACAGTAACCTAATAAACCTTTTTTTCATTGATATATTAAATGATGATGCAATATTATCAGTTATTAGGTCGAAAAAGCTACTGTTAATGGAACCTGCATTCCGGATACAGTCATATTTAAGTTAATATTA